CACACCCTCCTTTAACCTCTGTTTGGATGGGGAAGAACTCAGACTAGGTGCCATTGTGCAGGAGATCAGCGCCGGTCGTGCCATCGTCGAGTTGCCTCACAATGGCAATGAATTTTGCAGGCAGTCAAACGGCTGAGGGTCCACCAAAAAGCCTTCCTGTTGACCGAATCGAAGCCCTGTATCTGACGGGCAGCAAAGATCATGTCAGTGGTGCCACGTGGTGATCTAAAGCCACATTGAGATTCTGTGAGGAAGTTTTCCGCCTCAGGAAAAAGTCTGTTATGAGACTCTGGGCGGCCAATCTTGCCAGCTACGGACAGCAGCGAGATCCCGTGTGGTTGCCACAGCTGACCAGTCTCCCTTGTTCTTATAAATATTGATGTCGGAGGCGTCTTTAAGAGCTTGGGGAATCTTCTCCTTTTCCCATATATTCTCCAGCAGACACTGGAGACGGCTGGTAAATAGAGGTCATCCTGCTTTATACACCTCGGCTGGGTTCCCATCAGGCCCTGTGGCTTTGTTATTTGGCAAGCTTGATGGGCAGCAGCAACCTAATTAACGACAAAGAAGACATCCGTCTGCATTAAGCAACACACACCTCGCTCAACTGAAACACCCATATGGATGACCTGAATACCCCAGCAAGTCACTCGGCACCTGGAGCTGGCCCACCTTGGCTATCCTGAAGGTTTGGCCAGCTCCAGGTGCGGAGTGACTTACTGGGTATTCAGATCATCCACATGGGTGTTTCATTTGAGCAGGGAATGGTAATGTTCTTTCCAATGCAGACAGATGCCTTCTTTGTCGTTATTAATTAGGAGTTACCGTCGGATGAACAAAGGGGCCGCACCATGAGTCATTGGCCCGTGTGGTTTTAGAGGAATTGAAAATCTACACATCTTGTGTTGATCCGAAAATTACCCCATTCGCCCACTTTTGTATTTCCACCATTTGTCCTTTAGATCGCGAAGATTACGCTGGACCGCCGCTTTCTTCTTTGTACATGTATGAGCTTTGATCAGAGACTTAAGGTTGTTCTGCCAGTCAGTGAGAGCAGCACATTTACTATTGAAGAGTACTTTTATTTCTGGTCAAGCCATCAAACCAATCCTGAATTTTTTCTTTTTGATCTGGCCGAGTGTCTCGATGCAGGTTCTTGTGATGACAAGTTTGATGGGACCTATTCGGCACTGGCATTTTGGTTGTTTGTTATTGGGTTGTTCATCAACCCATCATTGAGCTGCTCTCTGAAAGCATGTACTACAGCAAGATCTTCCAGTCACTTGCTTTTGCCATTTTGGAGCGATGTGAAGGGTGAGTTTGGCACTGATTTGAGCCGATGATGTGTCACAGTGGTCTAAATCACACATGACTTGGGTGATGAGGACATCTCGGCGATCTCTTTCTCTGACAATGATGTAGTCAATGAGATACCAATGTTTAAGTTACGGGTAATGCCAAGAACCCTGAACTTGTCAGCTTGCCAAAACAAGGTGTTTGGTGATAGTGAGGCTGTGTTCAGCACACTTGCTGATGAGGAGTAGGCCATAAGTCAGCATCTCTGCCAGATTTGGTATCGAAGTCACCTAAGAACACACATATTATCTCTGGCGAGAGAGGCTACTTAATATCATCCTCTGCTTCCCGTGTTGGGGCGTATGCACTGATGAAGAAGGCATGACGTAAGTAATGTAGTGGGTCTTGGAGCTTCATGAGGCGCTCGTTGACTTCAGCAGGTACTTCAGTTAGCTTATGGAAGATGGATTGGAGAATGGCTAAGCCATCTTCATAAATGTGGTTTCTCTCCACTGTAGGTTTTCCCTTCCAGAATAAGGTATAGCCGGACCCTGTTCTGTGAGTCGACCCTCACTAGACGTATTACACCACCCTGTGAAGAAATATCCACACACACACACACACACACACACACACACACACACACACACACACACACGCACACACACACACACACACACACACACACACACACACACACACACACACACACAACAAAATGTCGTACTATGGAGTTCATTTTATTGACAAAATACGTATACAATTACTTACCTTAGCCTATGTAGTACGATACTGTATAAGGTCATATATAGGTTAATGATATATTCCTGTACGACTGTATAGCTCTGGTTGTATAGCGTAGTACTGGCATAGCCCAGATAATTAATTGTTCTTTTTCGCGAATTTCCATCAAACTTCTTCAATAATTATTTTCAAATAAGGTTATTGTATGTCGTCATTTATAGGAGGTAATATATACTGTTACGGGTATATGTAGTTAACTTTTCATATAAACATATACTACAGTAACTTGATGCACCAAAATAAGGCTAACATTGTATATGTACTGAAGGAATATACCTACATATGCATTTATATATATATATATATATATATATATATATATATATATATATATATATATGTGTGTGTGTGTGTGTGTGTGTGTGTGTGTGTGTGTATGTGTGTGTGTGCAGCTGAAATATAGTTCATTAAGTTTAGTGAATATATACTTAAGGGATATATTTCCTAGAGGCTTGAAAATCTACAGAAGGATTATAGTTGCATATAATAATAAATTTTCAAGAAGGGATATTTATTCAACTAGAACATCGTATATATACCTGTTGAGATACAATGTACAAATGAACTAATTAATCCATACATCTACCAGCTCATTAACTACAGTTGTCATTCACTCGCTGTCTTGAACAGTTTATAATTATTCAACAAAAGCACTGCATAGCAACAGCCTGCCAGACTATTGTACCCACGGCTGTCACAACAACTTACAGCTGCGGTCAATAACTACAGGTACAGCAGCTGTGAGACGTTAAGATATTACAGCAGATTACAGAACATCAATACTCAAACGACTAAGGAGTTCCGTCGTGAGCCAGAATAGTCTTTAAGGATGCATTTAGTAGTCAGAACAAAAAAATTTTCTCGAGGAATTATTGCCCAAATAAGCTTGGTTCCTATTGGTCTGACAACCCTTTAGGGACAATGTGGATTCAGCACACTGAATACTGGGCCTTCAGTATAGGTCAGCACTGCACATGATCACCTTCACCTGTAATTGTAAGTTTAGACACCCAATCACAGCTGGGTTTTCTGGAAGTGTCCTGGGCGTGAACTAACAACCCTAAGCATTAGAATCGAGCGATGTATCCACTCGACTACCACTACACACTGCCAGACTCCTGTTCACCAAACTGCTGCGAGAGTCATATACTACAGTGGTTGACTGAGTATGGTTTCAACAACACCCACACACCTGGGGTCACTCGCTACAACAGTTTACTTCACGACTACGACAACTCATGCACAGACACTATCATCTACAGGTCTATACCACTATGGACTACTACACTAAGGCACAACATCTTGTAACTATCAATCACGGTCAAGACAGAGTGACTGGTGAACAGGCTAGTAGGCGGAGAGCGATGTGGGAACTTTGTCAATGACGGGTTAGAGCACTTTAAAGCATGCCTTAAAACACGTTAAAATCCACTGAAGCTTGTGAGAGTGTGTCAGAACGCCACAGAATCCATTGAAACATTTCGAAACGACTTAGAACGTGTTAATACGTGTTGTGAACGTGTTAGAACATCCCCATGTGTTTTAGAATTGTTATTCACTGGTTAGATGGGCAAGGGGAGGGGTGGTAAGAGGAATAAGAAATTCATGAAGATTATTAAACATTTCCATATCTATTCACATCCTTCATGCTTACAGGACAAACTACTGTAGGTCTTCTACTAGTGTCTCTGTGATGCTGTGTGTTTCTATTGACGCTTATTCTAATTTAGAACTAATAAAAGATGGATAAACTGTACACTATACTAACAGTAGTCAGAGTTCAAGGAAAACTAAAAATGCTCTTTGAAAATCCGTAAAGAAGAAACACAAAGATTATTCAACACTATATTCCTTCTGCTGTTTGAAAATTGAGGACCGATGAAATTTCACAGAGGAAATATACAGTATAGTAATGAAGGGGAGAATACATCTGACTCCTTGGGAAGGTGAAGCCCCTCACGCCGTCCATATAAATAGAGTCCAACACTATACTCGCCATCCTCGTGTACGTCAAAGGTTCTAATTGCAATAAGATGTAACAACAAAAACTCTGTATATCCAACAAAGGGGTATTAGTAAGCCATTGTGGCCTAGAGACTCTGAATGGCAACTGATAAAGCGTTGCTGTTTCAGCATGAATAGGGCGCTGTGGGTGGCTTTTGTGGCATCAAAGGGCGATAACGCTTCATTCAAAAAGTGATTTTGTGCCACTGAATAGAGGTTGAATAAAAGTATTGTGAGTTGAATATACAACATCTCTGATTTTTTAAACGTTGGTAGGTGGGTGTTATCAGTGGTGGTCCGACAGGGTGTATATGTACATAATTAGAAAGGGACTTGTGTTATCACCTCACTGAGATCCAGTCCATAAGAACAGCGCCACCCCGAGTAGTCAATAGAGCAAACGTTCGCCCGTCATCTGCCTGCAGTGTTTATGGAAGAGAAGGTAAACAATACACTCCTCCGTGGTTTTAACTCACACACATACAGACTCGGGTACCATCTCACTCGGGTACCATCTCACTCGGGTACCATCTCACTCGGGTACCATCTCACTCGGGTACCATCTCACCGCCCCTACTGAAGACGGGGTGAAATTGTCTCTTCGACCAGCTTAAGGAGACATTCCTTTTTGTCTCTCTTATCCTCCCGCCTTGCCGTCACAGCCTTTCTCTCTCCAACAAGGAATCCAACCATCATTTTTCTAATCCATCCCAAATCCTTCCAACATTTTTTCTCGTCCTTCCTTCCATCGCACCACCTCTTCCTCCTCCGTCTACAAGGGACTCTGATCATCCTTCACACCCCCATCCCCGCCACTAAACTAGCGTGAAACAGATTTACTGAAGCGTTGAGACACATAACACAGCTCAACAAAAATTCTGTTCATATATCCTTACCATCTCTTAATAGGGTCGCTTCCTGCCACATCGTCGCGTCTGATGGCCACAGGGAAAGAGAAAACACATTAACAAAAAACTTGTAGACATTTTTTAACTTAAGTCACATTTGGGTGTTTATAAATGTTTTGTATTTTACTACTGTAACCGTATTCTGTGTGTTTATTTTGTAATAACAGTGACATAAAGGAGCTTAAAATTATATATAGAACAACTTAACATAATATACAAAACATTTTTTTGGGGTGGGGGGATTTGTTCAGAATAAGAAAAGAACTAAGATTAATTGTCCAAGAGGAAAAACAAACAAATTCTTCGACGACCCTTCAGCCTGGTGACACTTAAGCCTTAGTCAGGTTAAGGTCAGGTCAACAGGTTCCAGTCCTGGCGGCAAAATAACCACAAACATACACTAGGATAAGACGTGGAACTCAACCCTGAAGTTGGCCAACACACAAGTGGATGAGCCGCGGCAAGTCTCCTCCAAACCCTTCACTTGAGTAATAGTCCAGTACACTTTTTCCTCCTTCATAGTTTCCTCCTTCGCTTTTCTTCAGCCATTCTTCATCACCTAATTTCATTTGTTTTATTTATCTCTATTTACCTTAGTTGTTTCGCCCGTTATCTCCACTTATTTTCCCAAGCCTGTACACCTGTGTTATAATTCTTCTTGTATTTTTTTTATTGTTTTCAACAGTATTCATTTTCTCAGAGCCTTTCCTGGGTGACTGACTGAGAGAAACATTTCTCTCCTGTGGGAATCCAATCTCCCTCCTACCATCACCTCCCGCCCTCTACTGGCACCTCCTCTCAGGGTTCCGGACTGCACCCCCGTCTTGTGCCAACAATACCCCGGCCCCCCCCGGCCTGCACCCAGGACACTTCCATCATCACACCCCGGCCACACCCAGACACTTCCATCATCACACCCCGGCCTGCACCCAGGACACTTCCATCATCACACCCCTGGCCTGCACCCAGGACACTTCCATCACACCCCCGGCCTGACCCAGGACACTTCCATCATCACACCCCCGGCCTGCACCCAGGACACTTCCACACACCGGCCTGCACCGCACTTCCATCACACACCCCCGGCCTGCACCCAGACACTTCCACACACACCCCCGCACCCAGACACTTCCATCATTACACCCCGGCTGCACCGGAACACTTCCATCATTACACCCCCGGCCTGCACCCAGACACTTCCATCATTACACCCCCAGCCTGCACCAGGACACTTCCATCATTACACCCCGGCCTGCCCGAACACTTCCATCATTACACCCCGGCCTGCACCCAGACACTTCCATCATTACACCCGCCTCACCCAGCCCATCACACTGCCTGCACCGGACTTCCATCATCACCCCGGCCTGCACCGGACACTTACACTGGCCTGCACCCAGGACACTTCCATCATTACACCCCGGCCTGCACCCAGACACCTCCATCACACACCCCGCCTGCACCAGGACACTTCCATCACACACCCCGGCCTGCACCCAGACACTTCCATCATTACACCCCGGCCTGCACCCAGGACACTTCCATCATTACACCCCGGCCTGCACCCAGGACACACTTCCATCATTACAACCCCTGACCTGCACCAAGACACTTCCATCATCACACCCCCGGCCTGCAACCGGGACACTTCCATCATCACACCCCTGGCCTGCACCAGGACACTTCCATCATTACACCCCGGCCTGCACCCAGGACACTTCCATCATTACAACCCCGGCCTGCACCCAGGACACTTCCATCATTACACCCCGGCCTGCACCCAGGACACTTCCATCATCACACCCCGGCCTGCACCCAGGACACTTCCATCATTACACCCCTGGCCTGCACCCAGGACACTTCCATCATTACACCCCGGCCTGCACCCAGGACACTTCCATCATACACCCCGGCCTGCACCCAGGACATTTCCATTACACCCCCGGCCTGCATCCAGGACACTTCCATCATTACACCCCCGGCCTGCACCCAGGACACTTCCATCATCACACCCCGGCCTGCACCCAGGACACTTCCATCATCACCCCCCGGCCTGCACCCAGGACACTTCCATCATTACAACCCCGGCCTGCACCCAGGACACTTCCATCAACACACCCCCGGCCTGCACCCAGGACACTTCCATCATCACACCCCGGCCCACACCGCAGACACTTCCATCATTACACCCCGGCCTGCACCCAGGACACTTCCATCACACACCCCGGCCTGCACCCAGGACACTTCCATCACACCCCCGGCCTGCACCCAGGACACTTCCATCATTACACCCCCGGCCTGCACCCAGGACACTTCCATCATTACACCCCGGCCTGCACCCAGGACACTTCCATCATCACACCCCCGGCCTGCACCCAGGACACTTCCATCATTACACCCCGGCCTGCACCCAGGACACTTCCATCATTACACCCCGGCCTGCACCCAGGACACTTCCATCATCACACCCCGGCCTGCACCCAGACACACTTCCATCATTACACCCCCGGCCTGCACCCAGGACACTTCCATCATTACACCCCGGCCTGCACCCAGGACACTTCCATCACACCCCCGGCCTGCACCCAGGACACTTCCATCATTACACCCCGGCCTGCACCAGGACACTTCCATCATTACACCCCGGCCTGCACCCAGGACACTACCATTACACCCCGGCCTGCACCAGACACTTCCATCAACACACCCCCGGCCTGCACCCAGGACACTTCCATCATCACACCCCGGCCTGCACCAGAACACTTCCAACACACACCCCTGGCCTGCACCCAGGACACTTCCATCATTACACCCCCGGCCTGCACCCAGGACACTTCCATCACACCCCCGGCCTGCACCCAGGACACTTCCATCATCACACCCCGGCCTGCACCCAGGACACTTCCATCATCACACCCCCGGCCTGCACCCAGGACACTTCCATCATTACACCCCGGCTGCACCCAGGACACTTCCATCATCACACCCCTGGCCAGCCTCCTTTCCTCTTGCACCACCGGCCCATGTCAGTACGATATACAACATTATTCCTACCTAAACCTGTGCCTCCCTCCACACCTGTCGCCTTCCACACCTGCCTCCGTCCACACCTTCTCATACCTGCCGCCTTCCACATCTGCCTCCTTCCACACTTGCCTCCTTCCACACCTGCCGCCTTCCACACCTACCACCTTCCACACTTGCCTCCGCCCACACCTGCCTCCGTCCAAAGCCTCTGTCCACACCTGCCTCCCCCTCCACACCTGCCGCCTCCACACCTGAACTCCCTCCTGCACCCACCTCCACACCCTGCCGCCTCCACACCTCCACCTCCCACACTTGCCTGTCCACACCTGTTCTTTCCACACCTGCCTCCGTCCACACCTTGCCTCTGTTCACACCTGCCTCCCTCCACACCTGCCACCTTCCACACCTGAACTCTCCACACCTGCCGCCTTCCACACCTAACCACCTTCCACACACTTGCCTGTTCACACTTGCTCCGTCCACACCTGCCTCCGTCCACACCTGCCTCCGTCCACACCTGCCCTTTCTCACACTTGCCTCTGTTCACACCTTGTTCCAGTCCACACCTGCCCGTCCCACACCTGCCCGTCCACACCTGCCCCATCCACACCTGCCTCCATTCACACCTGCCTCCCCCACACACCTGCCTCCGTTCACATCTGTCACCGTTCACGCCTGCTTCCGTCCACACCTACCTCTGTTCACATCTGTGGCCTTCCACATCTGCCTCCTTCCACACTGCCACCTTCCACACCTGTCCCCATCCACACCTGTTCCCATTCACGCCTGCCTCTGGTCACACCTGTCCCCATCCACACCTGCCTCCATCCACACCTACCTCTGTTCACATCTGTGCCCTCCACACCTGCCTCCTCCACACCCTGCCCCCTCCACACCTGTCCCCATCCACACCCGCTCCGTCCACACCTGCCTCTGTTCACATCTGCCTTCCACACCTGTCTCCTCCACACCTGCATCCTCCACACCTGACCTGTCCACACCTGCCCCTTCCACACCTGCGCCTTCCACACCCACTGCTTCCACACTTGCCCTGCCTCCCACCTGCCTCCGTCCAAAGTTGCCTCTGTCCACACCTGCCTCCCTCCCACACCTCCGCCTTCCACACCTGAACCTCCATACCCACCTCCCTCCACACCACGCCTCCACACCTACCACCTTCCACACTTTGCCTGTCCACACCTGTCTCTTCCACACCTGCCCCGTCCACACTTGCCTCTGTCTCACACCTGCCCCCTCCACACCTGCCGCCTCCACACCTGAATCCCTCCACACCTGCCGCCTCCACACCCACCACCTCCACACTCTGCCTGTTCACACTTGCCTGTCCACACCTGCTCCGTCCACACCTGCCTCCGCTCCACACCTGCCTCTTTCTACACTTGCTCTGTTCACACTCTGCCTCCGTCCCACACCTGCCTCCGTCCACACCTGCCTCCGTCCACACCTGCCCCATCCACACCTGCCTCCATTCACACCTGTCATCGTTCACGCCTGCCTGTCCACACCTACTCTGTCCACATCTGTGGCCTTCCACATCTGCCTCCTTCCCACCTGCCACCTTCCACACCTGTCCCCATCCACACCTGTTCATTCACGCCTGCCTCTGGTCACACCTGTCCCCATCCACACCTGCCTCCGTCACCTCACCTCTGTTCATCTGTGGCCTTCCACCTGCCTCCTTCCACACCTGCCTCCACACCTGCCTCTGTTCACATCTGCCGCCTTCCACACCTGTCTCCTTCCACCTGCATCCTTCCACACGACTCCGTCCACACCTGCCTCCTTCCACACCTGACCCTTCCCTGCCTCCTTCCCTGCCTCCTTCCACACCTGCCTCCTTCCCACCTGCCTCCTTCCCACCTGCTTCCTTCCACACTTGCCTCTCTCCCTCCTGTCTCCACCCTGCACTGTCTTTGTCCACAGTTGTCTCTGTCCACACCTGTCTCCTTCTACACGTGTCTCAGCCAACATTTGTGTCC